ACGTTAGGCCAACTGGACTGCACAAACTATATCACTTTCAGAAAGATATCGTCTTGAGCCGTCTCAGCACGAATCGTGTCCGGCGTTACTGGCAACTCCCTTACACTGTCAACCAGGAGGCGCTGAACTTCCGACTCGAATTTGACAGATGCAATCACACATTCATCGTATTCCTTCAAGTGGGAACTGAGGAGGCGAGATAGAGCGTCAGCTTGGCCGAGTTGTTATGTAGATCGATATTGTACACTGAAATCGTAAGCCAGCAGTACGGTTGCCCATCTCTGTAACCGATTGCTGTGAAAACAGGAATACCCTTCTTTGATCCAAATATCGAGAGTAGAGGTTTGTGGTCGGTGGTCAGTTTGAAATGTCTACCCTATAGCATCTTATGAAACCGTTTCACTGCGAAAACAATCGCCAGCGCTTCCTTCTCAATCTGGCCGTAATTTTGCTCCGCTACTGTCAGCGACCGTGCTACGTGCGCAATGGCCTTCTCTTCTCCTCCTGGGAACACGTGAGAAATGACAGCACCTACCCCAGAATTGGAGGCTTCCGAAGCAACAACAATCTCCAAGTTTGGGTTGAAGTGACTCAAAAATAAATCAGAATTGAGCGCTGCTGTAACTATATCAAAGGATGATTGGCACTCCTTTGTCCATCGCCATTCTTTCCCTTTCAACAGCAACTCGTTCAGAGGACCTCTTGTCTGATGTAGACCTGACAAGAAAGCACTATAATGACTTATAAGACCGAGAAATGAACGAAGTTCGGCAACATCCCTTGGTGGTGGCGTTTGCTTGCCGGCTTCTATATTAACGGGATCCGGACGTCGGTCATGTTTGTCAATGATGAACCCGAGAAACTTGACACCTTCCATCAGGAAATTGCATTTTTCCGCTCGTAACCGGAAACCAGCTTCTTCTAGACGAGTGAGCACTTTCTCCAACGTGGCCAGCAATGCTTGTAGGTCAGACCCCATAATCAATTGCGCCATCCAGGTATACTGCGACCCCAGGGATATCGTACAGGAGCGTATCCATGATTTGTTGAAAATCGGCGGGAGCAGTTTTCACTCCGAATGGCAACCGATTGTACTGGAAAAGACCCAGGTGCGTGTTGACCGTCAATAGTGTTTTGCAGTTCTCGGCTACTGGAATTTGTAAGTAAGCATCAGCTAGATCGAGTTTCGCAAACCATTTTTCACCGTTAAGCTTGGTGAACGAATATTCAGGTATAGGCAAAGGGTACTGGTGGTTCTCCAAAATGGAATTTAAGCTGGTCGAAAAGTCAGCACAAGTATGTACCTAGCCGTTTCCTTTCTTCATCACAACGATGGGTGCCGCCCATTCAGATTAATGTGCGCGCTCGAGTATGCCTTCCGACCGCAACGGATTTAACTCGGACTCAACTATTGGTTGTTTTGCGTACGGCACTGAACGTTTTAGTCTGAAGACTGGTCTGGCGTCTGGTTTGAGGTTCAGCTTAGCTCTGGCTATTCGGCAGCATCCAAGACCTGCTTGGAACAAACTTTCGTGGCGTCGCTTAAGTTCTGCAATTTGACTGTAAATTTTCGAGGTTCGTATTCTGCGTCTCTGCGGGTTTCTCGACATGTAATTTCTGGCATATAGTGTTAACTGACTGGTCAAGTAATTTCAACTCCTCCATCCAATCGAGACCCAGCAAATTCAATCCTGGTTGATCTGTCACAAAACAGGTTGTACGAATACGCTGATCACGGAAACTGACCTGACAATGCAACTCTCTGAGAAGTTTCAAAATATCGCCGGATGCGTTTCGCGCTGTGTGATCTGTGTGGACAACCGGTGGTCGTCCCAGCAGACACCATGTGCCTCGACGAATCAAAGTGATGTCTGACGCAGTATCCAGCTGCAGCTTAACTTCTTTATCGTTGATCTTCAACACCGTCAACCTTGAAAGTCACCGTCACAGTTTTGGCCTCATTGTGACATCGGAAGCGCACCGGGATTCGACGCCGTATTCCGCGCCGTATTCCGCGCATTGTTGGTCGCTTCACAAGACAACACGACTCTTTGTGTCCGCGCTTACCACAGCGATTGTAAATGTGATTTCGGGACGAGCAATTTCGACCAACGTGCCAGTTTCTGAAAAACAACAAGCAGAAGAGGGTTTAGAATGTGGTGAACTCACATGAACCGATGCTTTTTGAGGACTTCGGCTGACTATGCAAATGATGTCCTGGCTACTCTGGATGGATGACTGTTGGATCACCACAGCATCATGCTTCAGGTTCATCAACCGTTGGCGTTCGTTCGTCACTTCCTGTAGTCTGTTCTTGGGGTTCTGTTCAATATTGCTCAGTACTCTTGTTCGGGTATCAGCATCTTTGGTTGCTTGAAGATCACACACAGAAATAAGGCACTTGTACTGATTAGCTGTCGTCTTGTGAAACAACGATCGTTCACACACACGATTTACGCGACTCGAGTAAGTAACCCAGTCTTCATCGTCTAGCTTGGTCATTGTCAGACACTTGTATCGGATATTGAATAATGACGACTGCTCTCTAAATATGTGGGCCAAAGTAGCAACCGCTTCATCGAATGCTAAATCAGTGCATTTTTCGGCAAGATGAAATGCATAAACTCTTCATGCTCGGCCGCACCCAATTTCCGCAGCATGAAGCGAAGTCTCTTGTCCTCTGAAGCACCGGCTAAATCAACACGAAACAGGTCTTCGTATTTATTGAACCACGATTCAAAGGTAATATTGGCATCGGCATCGTAACGGAACTCACAAACTTGTTGGGTCAATGTTTCTGCTGAGGGACAATGTTCACTTGTTCCTGTTACCGAGCCTGCTTGCAGTGACAAATTCTTGGTCAGCGTTTCGAGCAACTTGGTCTGTACTTTCTCAAACTGTGCCTGCTGTTGCTGCAACAGAGTGTGCAATTGTTCAAAACTGACTGACATCTATGGGTTCTTCTGACTCCCGTCGCCACTGTTGTAACCTGCCTTCGTACTGCTGCACTGCTGCTATTCTGCGCCTGCGAGACTACGATCGCCTGATTGCTCAGTAAAGCGCCCAAGCAACCGACGGGATACAGAAAGCCAAGGCTCGGTAAACAGGGAGTCTATTCTGCACGACAGGTCAGTTCTACTTATTGGTGAAGGAAATATGCTAATTTTGGAAGCGTTTGGCTCTCAGCCAATGTGAGTTAATTCTGTGCCATGCATTTTCCATATTTGGCAGAATGGTTCGCCTCCGTTGACTCGGACTTGTATTTGCTGACCAATCAGTTTGCACCCGATTCTCAAATTTGGCAGAAGAGTCGAAGGTCATTCCACGCTCGTGCTGGTGACCTTCGCATGCAGCAGACAGCTCACGTGCTCCGCGGTACGCCTGTGCGCGGCCTCGTATCTGGATATTGGCTCCTCTGACCTCTCTATTATTTACAACTGTGTTTGGGAGTGCGTTCCAGATTTGGCAATCCCGAAGTGAAAATTAATTTCTTCGACACTCTGTACGGCTATATTGTTCTTTAAATTTTAAGCAGTTACCTCTGAGCTTGCGGGTTGTGGCTAGGTTTCAGCAAATGGCGGTATACGTTGTTGTGGTCACTGCATACGTGGTTGGGTTCAAAAGCTGACTGAACTACTAGAACATAATTCAACTCCCTTGTAAACCAGGTTCGATCGATTCGGCTGACTCCTGGGGCAACAGGCAGACTCGCCACAGGTGATATCTTGTGAGAAACCCACGTCACCTATATGCGCGCATGCATGAAATACTGTTCAGCCATTGTCTGTATTCAACGAAGATCACGACCTACCATGACGGACACAACAGTTGACATTGATTTAATATGAGTAAAACATTAGTGTTAGGCAAGGCATTGAGGGCGACATTGGCGGGTCTTACTAGACAAAAACAGAACTGACAAGAGCAAGCGAAAGCAGTTTCCAAGCAAATCGCATAGCGTTTTGCATAAACATAGATTGCGCTTTCCTCAACGCTGCGATACAGAGAGGGCTGGTGAGCACATATTTTTGTTGCTTCGCTTCAGCTATCCGCTCATGTTGTAAACCACTCGCTTGTACAGTGGTAAATATAGGCGTCTACGAGCAGATTTTATCGTGGTGCTCCTAATACTGCGCGCCGGGGGGCGCGGCTGCGGGGGGGGACGCGGGCGGCGGGGGCATGGCGGGGGGCCAGGGAAAGGGGGGTGGGTGGGTTGGGCACGGCTCCGAGGGCCGGGGATCGGGGGGGGGGCGGGGGGGGGGGGGGGGGGGGGGGGGGGGGGTGCGGGGGCCGGGGGGGAAGCGCGGGGGGGCGGGCGGCGGCGGGGGGGGGGCAAGCGGCGGAGGCGGCTGGGGGGGGGCAGGGGGGGGGGGGGGGGGGAGGGGGGGGGGGGGGGCGGGGGGGCGGGGGGGGGGGGGGCGGGGGGGGGGGGGGGGGGGGGGGGCGGGGGGGGGGGGGGGGGGGGGGGGGGGGGGCGGGGGGGGGGGGGGGGGGGGCGGGGGGGGGGGGGGGGGGCGGGGGGGGGGGGGGGGGGGGGGGGGGCGGGGGGGGGGGGGGGGGCGGGGGGGGGGGGGGGGGGGGGGGGCGGGGGGGGGGGGGGGGGGGGCGGGGGGGGGGGGGGGGGGGCGGGGGGGGGGGGGGCGGGGGGGGGGGGGGGGGGGGGGGGGGCGGGGGGGGGGGGGGGGGGGCGGGGGGGGGGGGGGGGGGGGCGGGGGGGGGGGGGGGGGGGGGGGGGGGGGGGGCGGGGGGGGGGGGCGGGGGGGGCGGGGGGGCGGGGGGCGGGGGGGGGGGGGGGGGGGGGGGGGCGGGGGGGGGGGGGGGGGGGGGAGGGCGGGGGGGGGGGGGGGGGGGGGGGGCGGGGGGGGGGGGGGGGGGGGGGGCGGGGGGGGGGGGGGCGGGGGGGGGGGGGGGGCGGGGGGGGGGGGGGCGGGGGGGGGGGGGGGGGGGGCGGGGGGGGGGGGGGAGGGGGGGGGGGGGGCGGGGGGGGGGGGGGCGGGGGGGGGGGGGGCGGGGGGGGGGGGGGGGCGGGGGGGGGCGGGGGGGGGGGGGGGGGGGGGGGGGCGGGGGGGGGGGGGCGGGGGGGGGGGGGGGGGGCGGGGGGGGGGGGGGGGGGGGGGGGCGGGGGGGGGCGGGGGGGGGGGGGGGCGGGGGGGGGGGGGGGGCGGGGGGGGGGGGCGGGGGGGGGGGGGGGGGGGGGGGGGGGGGGGCGGGGGGGGGGGGGGGGGGGGGGGGGCGGGGGGGGGGGGGGGGGCGGGGGGGGGGCGGGGGGGGGGGGCGGGGGGGGAGGGGGGGGGGGGGGGGGGGGGGGGGGGGGGGGGGGGGGGGGGGGGGGGGGGCGGGGGGGGGGGGGGGGGGGGGGGGGGGGGGGCGGGGGGGGGGGGGGGGGGGGGGCGGGGGGGGGCGGGGGGAGGGGGGGGGCGGGGCGGGGGGGGGGCGGGGGGGGGGGGGGGGGCGGGGGGGGGGGGGGGGGGGGGGCGGGGGGGGGGGGGGGGGGCGGGGGGGGGGGCGGGGGGGGGGGGCGGGGGGGGGGGGCGGGGGGGGGGGGGGGGGGGGGGGGGGGGGGGGGGGGGGGGCGGGGGGGGGGGGGGGGGGGGGGGGGGGGGGCGGGGGGGGGGGGGGGGGGCGGGGGGGGGGGGGGGGGGGGGGGGGGGCGGGGGGGGGGGGGGGGGGGCGGGGGGGGGGGGGGGCGGGGGGGGGGGGGGGGGGGGGGGGGGGGGGGGGGAGGGGCGGGGGGGGGGGGGGGGGGGGGGGGCAGAATGGTTCGCCTCCGTTGACTCGGACTTGTATTTGCTGACCAATCAGTTTGCACCCGATTCTCAAATTTGGCAGAAGAGTCGAAGGTCGTTCCACACTCGTGCTGGTGACCATCGCATGCCGCAGACAGCTCACGTGCTCCGCGGTACGCCTGTGCGCGGCCTCGTATCTGGATATTGGCTCCTCTGACCTCTCTATTATTTACAACTGTGTTTGGGAGTGCGTTCCAGATTTGGCAATCCCGAAGTGAAAATTAATTACTTCGACACTCTGGACGGCTATTTTGTTCTTTAAATTTTAAGCAGTTACCTCTGAGCTTGCGGGTTGTGGCTAGGTTTCAGCAAATGGCGGTATATGTTGTTGTGGTCACTGCATACGTGGTTGGGTTCAAAAGCTGACGGAACTACTAGAACATAATTCAACTCCCTTGTAAACCAGGTTCGATCGATTCGGCTGACTCCTGGGGCAACAGGCAGACTCGCCACAGGTGATATCTTGTGAGAAACCCACGTCACCTATATGCGCGCATGCATGAAATACTGTTCAGCCATTGTCTGTATTCAACGTAGATCACGACCTACCATGACGGACACAACAGTTGACATTGATTTAATATGAGTAAAACATTAGTGTTAGGCAAGGCATTGAGGGCGACATTGGCGGGTCTTACTAGACAAAAACAGAACTGACAAGAGCAAGCGAAAGCAGTTTGCAAGCAAATCGCATCGCGTTTTGCATAAACATAGATTGCGCTTTCCTCAACGCTGCGATACAGAGAGGGCTGGTGAGCACATATTTTTGTTGCTTCGCTTCAGCTATCCGCTCATGTTGTAAACCACTCGCTTGTACAGTGGTAAATATAGGCGTCTACGAGCAGATTTTATCGTGGTGCTCCTAATACTGCGGGACCCCAATCACACATTTAGCGATCTGTTGCAGCTCAACCACAATCTTAATTTGGGAGTTAACCAGCTCAAAATAGTCACAGATTGCAGTTAATTCGAGTGTCGGTTATCCCGGCTTTTCAAAAGACCAACGGATAACACGCTAACTCCCTTACAACATGCGATTTAGTCCGTTTACACCGGAAAACTAGGTAAAATATACCAACAGGTTTCTTACCACATAAATTCGTTCTTTGATATTTACACATACAGAAATACGATACATCACATCTGGGAAGTTCAACCAAAGCTTTGTCTACGAAAGCAACTGACGAAGAGCTATTCGTAATTTACCTGACTTATTGCCTGACTTCATACGTGACGTATTACCATTGATTTCTTGCCGTTGTTGACTTATTCAACTCAGACTCATGCATGCCGACGAATGGTACACTACCGACCAATGCATCCCTTAACTCCGCAGCGCTTCATCTCTCGAATTCATATTTTACATTCATTTCCTGCAATAGTTTCCTGCACTAGCATAACACAACATCGATTTTCCAATTCGAGCACAATCACTGTAAGGAAATGGGGAATATCGAAGTACCGAGTTCATTAACATTTCCCTAAAAGAATCACGCAAATTTTAATCAATTAGGCTGCTTCCAAGATTAACATTACTTTTCTATAAAGTCAATTCGCCTTATTTCAAAGGGTCTTCTCCGACGATTACTGTTCATCCTGCGGGCCATGGACCTCGCGTGTCGGAAGTATCACAAATACCTGCTAAGAAAAATAGTGGCTTGGATCTCGGTTAAGTTTGTGTTCGGAGCCTTCCCCCCCCCCAAAAAAAAAAGCTCAGATCCAAATTGTCTTATGAGAATGTAGAACAATATCGAGCGGTTGTTATGTTTAGGACTAGCGTAAGAGCTGAGATTTAATCCTATGGAATCCGCCTTTTTCTTGTTGCATTGTATCCAACAGCCAAAGAAAGTAACTCGCAGAAAAACAGTTTAAAACACCATGTCGCTTGACTGCATTCCAGAAAAAGCAACAAGTGTGCTTTATGTATGCCTTATCCACAAAACCAGCCTGATAGACCAGAAACCAAACAGGTGCTTACGAATTCCCGCCACACGAGGGCTCAACACTCCTGTCCTATCTATAAGCGCTTTTGGACCGCCTTTATATGCTTGATAGGACGACGCAGACACGAGAGGATGAAGCTTCGGCAAGTGGAAGCAAAATGTCCGAAAGAGACAAGTCACTAGAGAGCAGGGAAGTGACTATCTAGGTGAAAACTGTGCTGCCGGAATGAGCCGGAAGATGAATAGCTATATTTATCCCTTCACCGATTGTCTGGTCCATCGAGACTTGCAGAAGGAAAGCGAACAAAAAGTGGAAGTATCAGTTCATTCAAGCGAATCGAGCATGTTTCTTTCCGTTACGGGGTCCTGTTATGATTCTCCCTGGCAAGCGGAAGACCAATTACGAAACCCAGCCCTCGTCAGTCATCTCCTACTTGAAATCCGGCGTATGACTTTTAATGTTTTCATCCTGTTAATTTCAATTTTGGAATGCGCCTTTTTGTCAGGGGGCACGTCTCCCATCAAGTTGAGGTCCACGAATGGACAACCCGTATCACTAAGTTCACTATATATATATATATATATATATATATATATATATATATATATATATATATATATATATATATATATATGGTTGGCGGCATCCGGTTTCGGATTTGCCTATCACTGTGGCCAGCCACAGGACGCTTGCGAATACAGAGGGACCATGAGTGGCTTGCGCTGCACCACCCACAGCTCCACCCACACACACCCCATATCCAGTGTAAACCCGAAGGAATAAGACCGGGAGGCATGTGGAAGGGAGCCACGTTTCATCAACGGAGCCAGCCCACACTCCTTCACAGGCAAACACAAGCACACTGTATTTGGGGAATCAAGCACACACAAGGCGGTGGCTGGACCGTAGTCCGCTCCACACAAAGTACATGGAACCACTCTTTGATCCTAACACGGCCACAAGGACCGTGCACCCCGTCCCCTCCAGCAAGGACCAACTGTCTCCTGGAGCCAGATGGACGAGGTAGTGGATAATAGACAGGTAGGCACCTTGTCAACGTTCACATCAAGCGCAGTCACCCCGGGGATTTCAATCAACCACCAAACACTCGAAAAGACAATAAGGAATAAAATAAATCGATCTAAGCATACAGATCTGTCGATGTAAGTACAATAAATGCAAACGAAGTAAAGATATCATGAATTTATCTGCGTTAAATTTAAGACGACAAACCAGAAAACTGCGTTCAACAAATGTCAAATTATTGACGGAATTGATCCCTATCGTTTGAGCGACATACGTATTAAAATGGAACATTATAGATAGGCATAAAAAAGAGATAACAAATAAGTATTAACAAAATGTGGCAAACCCAAGGACAGAAATTTAAATTCAACACGCAAGCACGCAGTTAAAATGTCGAATGTAGCGTACCTATCAACGCTGCGTCGGCTCTGCCTACGTTAGCAGCAGGACCTATCGTCGTTTCGATGCTGGTCCTGAGTGGCCTCGTTAGGCTCATTAAGACTTCCTGACAGCCACTGGCGACGGAATGTGCTACAGCAACATGCGCCCGACTTAGGTGAAGTACACGCCATCGGCACCTGTCGCTTCTTCTCCGCGTGCACGAGGGCTTTCTCCTGAAACTCGACAACTACCTTTGTGATCAGCTCACGTCGAGCAACCGCCTTCTATTCCCAACACCTGAAATCCACATTAGAACGTGATGGGCTCGCTTTGATTATGTCCTGCTAACGAAGCTTCCGTTTCCCCAAGTGCCACTTCCCCAAACTCAGCTGACCATATAAGAGTTGCTTCGGTATCCGCGACGAATCCATACGCCACACATGACCGAGCCACCTAAGGTGTTTCAGTAAACGTATGCAGTCCACTGTATACATTTCACTTCGGCGCAAAACTTACATGTCCGCAACACCGTCGCACCAAACGATTCGTAGAATCCGTCGCAAACACTGTTGATGAAACCGCTCGAGATATCTCAAATCTCGCCGGTACATCGTCCACGTTTCGCTGCCGTATAGAAGAGCAGACAGCGCCATGGATTTGTACATCATCAGGGCCAGATGTTTAACATGCCTGTTCACGACCTGTACCTGCCTTCTCTTGTTCGCATACTATCGGTTCTTAGTGGTCAACGCGCCTGCATTCCAGTTTGTTTCCAACCGTCAATTTTTCTTTGGGTCACACCTTCGGAGATGCGTATTGTCCGAAGTCTTTTCCTCACCCATTTCCTAACACTTCCACAACCAAGTCCCATGCATTCCAAATTTCCAACCGATAGGTTACATATAAACTTGAAGCGATTGTGAATACGCCATACTTTGTCTTCTCTTTCATCACTTCCGTTAATGACGATTTGGTTCCATTTGTATAAATTGACGAATTTTGAATGCACATCTTAGACCCACTCGCGTCGTGCTGATTTCGTTTACTACTGCTTGTGATGTCACAACGACTTTACGCAGCCAGATAGATAGTTTATTATCACCAGCCACTGTTTGACAGATGGTGACTGATGGAGGGACTATAACGGATGTATATGAACATTCTCCAACTGTGAGGTTTGGCCTAAGATTTTATCTTACGTCTGGGCGTCCTGGCAGTATCTCAGCCCACATAAAACCATGACAATTTCTTCAAACATAAACTTTATCCTGCATCGGCCGTCGCGCAGATTATCAAGGGTCGCCTTATCTGCTGCATACAGCAGGGTGGATAAGCGAAAACATGCTACTGCTGACGCCTCCCTTCTTCCTTTTCCACCTTTTTCTCTTACTCCCATCCCTAACCCTAACCTTCTATAATTCCCTGCTTAATTGACAGCAACCGAAATGCCACCGGAGTAGAACCATCTGCAGCCACCCAGTGACACCCACCTTAGGCCTATCAGCAACAGTCTCCTATAAGGCTACGTCATTCCGTTTCCATGGCAACATTCAACGTTCGCGCTCTAAGACAAATAGGTCAGCAGGCTACACTCGCACGCACATTGGACACACTGCGTATTG